GGCAATTTTCGTGTCAATTGTGGTGGTGGTGGTGGTTCCTGTGTCGGTACGGTACTCGAGTACGATACATGCACTGCACGGTGCATATCGGCAGGGAAGATTCCATGGGGTCGGTCGGTCGGTCTGTCTCTCATGTATGGTATCGTATGTAGGCACAATGCTATTATATTATGTATTGCAGCGCAAGCTTCTTTTCTTTTCTTCTTCGGCCTTGCTGTGCGAGAGTTTGAGCTCCCGTGAAGTAAAAGTACCGAAGCTATGCTATCGTACAGCATGGGGGAGTCTTTCTGGGCGGAAGGGAAGGGAAGGGAAGGAACGAATGGGAGAGAGGAGGGCCAACATCTGCAATCGACATGATCATACCCCGGTACGGTAGGACATTCCCCGGGAAAAGGAAAGAAGAAAAAAAAAGGAAAAACCCCGTCAAAGTTTTACCCAACCAATCAGATGCGGGTTCCTGAGAATAATAACGGTGCATATCTTTTTCGAGGTGCGCGATGCGCTGACCCATAATTTACTGTGCTCACACAGATGTGGGCATGTAGGAGCACAGTACAGTAAGTGAGGACTTGTCCTCCTTATGCGCAGATAGACTGGGTTCCCCCTTCAGTGAGTGAGCCACGGCGTTGTCTGTCGAGTATGATAAATACTGCTACTACGGTATCAACCACAATCGATTTTGAACCCCCTGGTGCCTCACTGGAGATGTCGTCTCGTCGAGTGGGGGACATGGCCTATAATGGCGGTGATGCGTATAATATCGATACATACATAAGGTACAGTACCGGTAGATCTGATCCCTGAATACCTCATAGACCATACTCGAGCAGTAGTCTGTGGTGATTAGGACCAAGGGTGACTGGTGACAATGTTTAAATCGTCCAGGGCCATTACTTAGCGGAAAAAGTGGGCTAGTGTGACTTCTGTTTCCTCAATCTACTCGCATTCGCAGCATATGCCACAATGGGACACCGCGCGGTACAGTACTGTACTGTAGAGTACATGTACCGGTACTGTACATGCGCGTGACGGGGAAATGAGGTGCTCGGAGGCGGTATGATATAGTATCGTACTACTCGAGTGCCGGTACGATGCTGTATTAGAATCCGTGCTGTGTGTATAGTTTACTGTAGTATGCGGTAAGGAGTGATACCGTATTGTCGTGAATGTTCCCGAATGCCGAGCTATCTGAGTAAGGGAAGGTAAGGTATCGTAGGAGCGGGGGGGGGGAGATGGCGAGAAATGGAAAATGCTGCACATATTGGGAATTTTCTCCTGGTAAAAATAGGGAATAAAAGAGGAAAAAGGGGATAATATATCTGCTTGTTGCTTGCTGCTGGCACTCCTTTGGTGACACTCTTGGTGCAAAATTCCGTTGGGGCAGCCATCCGGGATCGATATATTTTAGGCCTTGCGCGCCGGCCGGCCGCGAGAGCTCCATTGGTGCCTTCTCGCTGCTTTTCTCCACCATCCGAGTCCACTCAGCCCGCCCATCAAAGACTGACTGTCGCTAAACCCTTCCTTGGGTAGCCTAAACCGCATTGGGAAAGGGAGACAAAGCAGTGGCTAGTATCGTATCATACATAATAATAATTATTATGATACCGGTAGGTATGCATATCTCGATATTTGAGCAACCCAAACCCTCCCATAGGCCTGGGCAAGGCTCGCATAAAGCCAGTTGTCCTCACCTCCCCCCCCAGGAACCTCCTTTCCCGAAAATTTCCCAGGCTTCCTCAGCACCGACCCTTCGCTCTTCACCCAGCTTATATACTCGCTGCTCATCCACCATCCCTTCTTTTCGATTAAGTGTCCTCTTCCTTCCCTCGAGCTTCCTATCGCCGAATAATCTCTCATCTCACCCTTCCTTCCCCCTTACCCTTTCCCCACCCTTTCTTTTCTAACCCACCCCTTTCCCTTCTGGGCTTTCGCCCCACACTTTCTCACTATCACTCCTCTCTATATCTCCATTGCGCCTATTCCGGAGACGAGCAATAGGTGCTATTCACCACTTTTACCACCACCCGATCGAAATCGAGACACTCTGTCTATCAATCTCGAGTCATCTCACCCGCTTCACGCACTCTCCGCTTGACTTCTCGCAACCAACACCATGTCGCCCGCGTCGGTTGACCCTTCGTTACTTTCAACCTTTGACAACCTCCTAGAGCACGAGGATTTCTTATTATCGGATAGCGAATCCGTCATCTCACCATTCGATAATGAACCTTTCAGTTCTGCAGCATCCAACGCGGGCAGTGATCTCACTTGCCCGTCAGACACAAACTCTCCTCGGGCGGCGTTTACCCCTGGATGCTCTTCCTCTCCTCAACCTGAGAAGGTTGAGGAGACGGACAAGAAAACTGCAGCAAAGCCAGCGAAGAAGAAGCGGAAGTCATGGGGTCAGGAGCTCCCGATTCCTACCACAAATCTTCCACCTCGGTGAGTCTTTAGATCATCCGTAATCCTTTTAACCGCTACTCGAGTGCTCCTTTACTGACACCACCACCACTTTCAGGAAACGAGCCAAGACAGACGAGGAGAAGGAACAGCGAAGGATCGAGCGAGTATTGAGAAATCGTGCCGCTGCGCAATCCTCTCGTGAACGCAAACGGAAAGAAGTTCAGGCTTTGGAGGAGGAGAGGACGAAGCTAGCCGAGAGCAACGCCCATATGAGGGCTCGGCTTGTAGTTCAGGAGGAAGCCAACAGAGCATTGTGTCGAGAGCTGGAGGGCATGCAGCAGACGCTCAAGCATTATGAGGAGTACATGAAGGTGGTGGCTAGTGATATTGCTGCAAATGCCATTGTCAGTCCAGCCGACCCGCCCAGCCCGACCTTATATTTTGCGGCTCCCGAACCGACTATCAAGGAGGAAGAAAATCTGTTTCTATTCCTCGATAGCTCAGAGGCAGCCCCAGTCACTACCCTCGACCCCAGCGTACTCAACGGGCCAGCAGGGCCAGGCCAAGCGAAAGCCGGGCCTAGCCTAACGAAATTCTTGAAGATCTAGCCCGTCCTGGGCTTGCAGGTCCCGGAGTGTCTCGGCCGGGCCCGGCTATAGGCTGTACAGGCTTATTGCCAGCTGCCTGATCGGCCGCTTGGCCTATCCTAGCCTGCGGTGCTTATATGGCCTCCGAGGATGGAGAATCCAGTATGGCGCATCAATCTACAGAATAGATGTGTGGCCTTCAGTGCCTACAGATAGGGGTTGAGCTTTTCTGTGTCCTCCGTTGTCCTCTGTCTGGGGATGGTCACGAATCTGGGCGATGTTTTCTAGCCCGGACATATGTACCGGCATCATACGTCTTACGAGTATGATTGTATTATTATAATTATTTTCTTTCTTTTGGGAAAATTTTCTTTGGGGAGGCTTATTAGATGGCCTTGTGCTCGTAGACCCCATGAGCACACTAAAATCTCGGCACGGTTTGGGCGTAGGATGAGGGAAGATTTCTGGATTTTTTTTGGAATGGGTGTGTGCCGGTGGCTTTTTTTTTTTTTTTTTTTTTGGCTTTTTGTACACTTGTAGACTCTTGGTTACTTTTGGGGTTATCACGATGCGATGTCTGGCCATGTATGGTTGTGTCTTGGGTGTTTTACTGTATAGGGGGGAGTACTGTGGGACAAAAGTTAACGGATAAAAATGGGATTAATCTAGGGGAGCACTAAAAGATGGGAGTTAACGGATAATAAAAATGAGATTAATCTAGGTGAGGAATTCCGACTGACGGCGGCGGGGTGAGCGGCGGAGGAAGATTGTATGATATTATGTGAGCCTTACTGTGCGAGTATGATAGCATGCGGTACCGGTAGACCAGCGTCCCAGCCAGTGTGGAGTGCATTACGAACCTCCCTCTCTTTTTCCTTGCAGCCTCCAGTGTTACTGTATATCATATATATCCAGCACCGCAGCACAATGCGCCCGAACACGAACAATGTGCAATCTCCGGTGCCCGTGCGATGCGAGCAACGGTATTCTACGATGGACAATCCAGCCTACATATTGCATCGCACCGGAGACCCTGACGTCGCACCGCCGCCTCGTACTCGTAGCGCTACATCTCGTATCGTGGTAGAATATGCGCCAGCACTGGAGCTGAGGTTGGTGGAAGGTTGGTGAGATTACCGCTAACTTACGGGTAATGTGCTAGTACATTAGTAATCTCTCTGCATAATTGCCAATAAAATCCAATGCGGTCTGAATGTTTCCCTCTCCTCCTCCCGTTCGGGGTTGTATGATATATCGGCACCGTATTATTTACAGCAGAATCGTGTCGGGGGTTATATAAGTCGTGACAAGACATACACGGTATACGTGTAGAAATTAGAATTGGCATTTGGATTCATTCTTTTTTAAGCACAGTAGTTGAGATACCGGTATTCAGGTTACAAGTATCATAGTTTGCCCATTTCTAGCGGGAATCCGCCGGTGTGAAGTTGCTCCATATTTGGTGCCGGCCATTGAGATGAGATGAGATGAGATGGACCGCTCTCCCGAAGTTAGACTAAGTTAGTGTTCCCGATTCGAGCCTGTTCCGCGCAGCGTCCCGTGGCTTTTCCGAGTGGCGGGATGGAAGGAATGGATGGAATGGGAATTGGGTGTGGGGAGGGATGAATGGCATGGGATGCGGGGTACGCTATGCGGGGGATAAGTGGTCATTGGCATGTACTGTACGGGTATATCGCGTATCGGTGGATGTTTGAACTTGAGCCTGGAGGGGGGTTTTTTGTTTCTCCGGCTCCATTATAATACTCCTTCCCATTCTATCCATGATTGAGAGGGCGTTCAATCATTTATAATATCATAATCAACCATGATAAAGGCTCTGCCTGGCGGCATAACTTTATGGCCCGGACGGAATAGTAGCAGTGGGGGCAGGCCAACCAGGTCCCGCCTATTTCCCGACGGGAACGGGAAATGTTTTATCCATCTTAATTTAACTTACCCCTCCTCGCTCGCCCCGCAATCTCACCTCGTACCTCGCAATTCCGATCCAAGATGGCAACGACGATGGGTACCAGCAACGACCACTTCCTCGGCGTCGACGTCGGCACGGGGAGCGTCCGGGTCTGTATCATTGATGGAACTGGGGAAATCAAAGGTCTTGAATCGAAGGACATCAAGACTTGGCATGAGAAGGCAGATTATTACGTACCTTTCCTCGCTCCTCCTTCCCCTACTTTCGCCCGGGGGGGTTAGTGTTGACGGGTCCGGTAGGAGCAATCCACGGAGGACATCTGGAGCGCGATATGCTACTGTAGTAGGCTAGTATTGGAGAAATCCGGGCTTGACGGGGCGAGCGTTAAGGGTGTGGGATTCGACGCTACATGTTCGCTCGCCGTGCTTTCGCAGGAGACGGACGAGCCCATTTCGGTTGCTGGGCCGGGCTTCAAAGATGGGAAGAGGAATGTTATTTGTTTGTGTCCTCCTTGTCTTTTGTTTCGTGGATCTATTGGCTAAGTTTTGTGTGACCAGTGTGGATGGATCATGTATGAGGACCTTCTCCTGCTTGCTCCCCCCCCGGTAGTGGTCAGGGGACGGCTCGATTTACAAATATGATATAGCGCCCAGAGAAAGAGACCAAAGCGGTTAACGCGACAAATCATAAGCTCCTCCAATATGTCGGTGGTTCGATGTCTATCGAGATGGAGATCCCGAAAGTCCTCTGGTTGAAGAATAACATGCCCAAGGAACTGTTCAACAAATGCAAGTTCTATGACCTGGCGGACGTTCTCACGCATATGGCCACGGGGAAGGAAACGAGATCCTACTGTAGCGCTGTGTGCAAGCAGGGGTTTGTCCCCGTGGGCGTGGATGGGAGTGTTAAGGGTTGGCAGGAGGACTTCCTGAACGATATTGGATTACCCGAGTTGGCGGAGAATGGTTTTATGAGGATGGGGGGTGTGCATGGAGCTGTAGCCTTTCCCCTCCTTGCGTAGGTTCCTCTGGTGAGATTACTTACTAATTACTCACGGGCGGGGGTAGAGCGGGACGATGCTATCCGCCGGCGAGTTGGTTGGGGGGCTCAGTGAGAAGGCGGCGAAGGAGCTTGGACTCGTTGCTGGGATCAAGATTGGCAGCGGGGTTATCGATGCCTACGCGGGATGGATTGGAACCGTCGGGGCTAAAATGGAGATGCCGCAGAACCTGCTGTCCGGGGGTCATGCGGGGAGTCTCGAACAGGCTTTCCGCAGACTTGCGGCGGTTGCGGGAACCAGTACCTGTCATTTAGTCATGTCGAGGGATCCGATTTTTGTTCCGGGGGTTTGGTAATTTCCCGGGGGTTTGCATTTACCGATGTTTGCGGGGCTAATTGGTGGTAGGGGCCCATACCGTGACGTCTTGCTACCCGGTTACTGGATGGCGGAAGGCGGACAATCGTCCACTGGAAGTCTTCTACATAATGTTTTGACAACACACCCCTCCTACAATGATGCCCTGGAGAAGTCCAACGAGCTCTCGAAAAACATATTCGAATATCTCAACGAGCACCTGGAGACCCTACGGAAATCCGAATGCGCTCCCGCAATTGGATACCTCGCCCGCCACCTCTTCTTCTACGGCGACAAGCACGGCAACCGCTCCCCGATAGCCGACGCGGCCATGCGCGGCGCAATCGTAGGTCTAAGCATGGACTCGAGCATCAATGACCTCGCACTCCAATACTTTGCAGCAATGGAATTCATCGCCCAGCAAACACGCCACATCATCGACACGTTGAACAGCCGGGGTCACGAAATCACAAGCATCTTCATGAGTGGCGGGCAATGCAAGAACGACATCCTCATGCATCTGATCGCCGACGCAACTGGATACCCAGTCGTGATCCCCAGGTACATCGACGCAGCAGTCGTCCTGGGAGCCGCAATGTTGGGCGCTAAAGCTGCGAGCGTCGACAGTGAGGGGAATACCGAGAGTTTGTGGGCTATCATGGATAGGATGAGTAAGCCCGGGAGGACGATTTACCCGACTGAGAATGCCAACGAGAGAAAGTTGCTTGGAGCTAAGTATGAGGTGAGCTGTGCTGGTAGAAGCTGTGAGTGATGGGGAGTCTGTGGGTTTGCTAATGGTGAGTGTAGGTCTTTTTGCACATGTCGAAGGCTCAGCAGACCTATAGGGATATGGTCAACGCTGCTATCGGGGATTGGAAGGCTTAGTTTGGTGGGGCTTGCTTGGCTCGGAACGTACACTATAGACTTCATAATATCGTGTGTGTGCTGTGGATAGTCCCCGTCATACTTTGGTGGTGGTGGTGGTGGTGTTGGGATTTTTGATGCTTCCATGTTTTGTAATGTCAGCAAACTAGCCTCTATGGGCTTTCATTTAGATGTAGGAGAAACAGTATTCAATTGGTCGGCCTTTAAGTTATCGAGAACTCAGCAATGACAATCGATTTGAATTCCGAGTGATGTCCTGTGACAAGAATATGTATAGTCCCAAGGACACTGGGATTTCATTGCAGGCACCACCATACCACTGCGACTGCTGAATACCACTTACGGAAAACACCCCATCCTCTACGAAATGATATTATTGCGGCAATTACAATTCCACCACAACCCGTGAGAGCCCTATATTCACGGGAGAAGGTTAGGGTAGCACATACCTGGAAAACCTCCACACCACAGTCCCCCCTCTATACACACACTGCGCGGCAACCTGAACCCCAACCCACCGTCACACTGCCAAACGTGCCCTACTGCACCCCCCCCCCCCAGGTGTGATAGGATAAGGTGCGTTTGTTGGATGGCGATCAACTGACTCATGCTTGGTACGTTTTGGGCGGGTATCGTGTGCTTTTGTTGTTTTTCTGGGTGGGAGGGGATTCTTCGGAGGGTTGAGGGTCTATTTGAGGGTTTTACGGGGTGGAGTTGGCAGTGCTCGGCTTTTTTTCCAGTGTTCGGCAATGTGATGATATAATATACCAGTTACTGAGCAGTTCTTACGGATCCGGAATGTCCAAGACCGGCCTACCATACACAAGTCCTACTACTACTCATCTTCAAACACAAAGATCTGCTTCTTCCCGCCAAAGCCCTGTGTGCTGCGTTCTATCGCAGCCTTAAGTTCCTCCTCTTTGGTATCCCGCTTCCAAACTGTGGTTTCCATCGGTACATCCTTGAGTTCTCCGGATGAAATGTAGCGGGATATCTCTTCGAGCATGGCTTCCTTCTCAGCGGGGTGTTGGTCCGACCACCGCGAGACCCAGAACCCGTGGAAGTGTAGGTCCTTGAAGATTAGGAGGCTCGCACCTAGGGTGAGGGGCTTCTTAGACATAGCACCATAGGTTACTAGGTGCCCGCCGGTGCTGCGCGGATCATCAGGAATCATTCTGGAGGTGGGGGTGGGGGGACATACTCGAGCAACTTGCAGAGATCGATGCACGCTTTCCCACCCACAGAATTCAGCCCCAACATCGCCCCCTTCCCGCCCATCCTATCAACAACCCCCTTCTGCACCTCCGGATCCGCCAGCTCCTGATCCGTGAGCACCACAGCCCCGCCCTCCCCCCCACCACCCAGCTCTATCAACTCCCTTTTCAACTCCTCAATCCCCTCCCTATGCCTAACCACGTTAACGCTCTTCAACCCCCAAATCCTCCCAAACTGCAATGCAGCCCTACCCACTCCCGAATTCGCCGCGTTCTGAACGAACCACCCACCCGGCTGCAGTGGGGTAAAGTCTTTCAGCATACGATACGCCGTGCAGGGATTCACGGACAAGGTGGCCGCCTGCAACGGTGTGATAACTGATGGGGATTTCGGAATTTTTAGGAGGTTCGAGGAGCGTGCGGTAGCGTGGGTGCGCCATGTGCCGAATGCCGTGTGTCGCATTATTGCCATGTCGCCCGGCGTGAAGTCAGTCACTGAGGAGCCAACGGAGAGGACTTGTACGGCGCCTTCGTTGCCCGGAACTGCATGGGGTGCGGGTGTACCGAGGGCTGTGGTGAAGATGGGTTTTGAGGGGTAGAGGCCTTCGATCTTGGGCTCTTTAGTTGTTGAAGGAGGAGGGGAGGGGAATGTGGGAAGGGGGGTACTTGGTTTATATCTGCGGGATTGATTGGTGCGGCGAGAAAGCGGACGGTGATTTCGTCGCCGTGGGCTGGGGAGATGGAGTGCGAGTGGAGTCTACTCTAGTTTTTAGCACTTATTTCACCCCTTTCCTGTAGGATTGGGGGGCTTGCTTCAAGACATCCTTTGGCTGTCCATACTCTGAGAATATTAGGGCTTTGGCTTGAGTGTAACCGAAGACGGTGATATGGCGTTTTGGAATTGCGCCTGCCGAGTTCAGGATTGTGCGTCGTAGGGGAGTTCTGAGTGAGAACATTGTATGGGCTTGGTAATGTTCGAGTGACGGAGGAGGATGAGATGGCTGAGGTGGGATGTTTGCTTGTGAAGACGATAATTATAATGGGTGATTCTCGGTTACCGGGACGTGCGGCAACTTCCGGATGCCCAGAGATCATCCCGGCCTCACTCTCAGAGCCCCCAGGTGAGTCTGATATGTTTGGGCTTTGGAAGTGAAGGATTGCTGGTACTGGAGTTGGTAGAGAAATGTCAATTAGTGCCTCAGTTTAATGTATGATAATATTATGATGGGAGGGGTGACTGCAATGGCTTGTCATCGTCGGAGAGCTGGTGATCCCAGTCAACTCCATGCTATCCAAAGCTCTCAAAAACCCCACAAGAGCCTCATGTCATTAAAAACAAATTCCATACAATCAACTCCCACAGTTATATCCCCAATTATCCCTTCTACTCCCGCTCGAGCCCACACTGCCAGCCACTGGCCAATCACATCCCATCACTCGCAACATCATCCCAAAACAGCCTAGCTGGAAAATAGTTCATGCGACGTCATTCGTTGCTGCGGTTTGGCGACTGCCAGCGAATCCTCACTCTTTCCCTGCCCCACCTTCACACAGGCCAGTAAAGCAACCAAACAAAAAAAAAGCGCATTCCCTCCCCTCCTCCCCTCATTCAAATCTCCACCTCCAATAAATTGAAACCCCTCTCCCTATTCAATCCATTCTCCAAGTTCCCGGTGCTGGAAGAGAGGAAAAAAGAATACGGGCAAAATGTCTTACAACTTCAGAAATGAACTTAACGCTCCCAGACGATTCCGTGAGAGCGACAACATTTCACTGCTCACCATGATGGAATTGGCCCCCACACCGATAGAAGACGAGGACTACGTGACCTACTTCCCGACACCGCCGGAGATTCAGCAAGCGAAAATGGACATGAGTTCCTCGGCGGGTTCGCTAGCGGGGTTGTCAAGCTCGGGGAGCTGGGGAAACAGCTCTTCTAAAGGTGTTGTTTATTGGCGTAGGTTCTTCCTCACTTTCCTCTCCAGAGTGGCATTACAGCAGGTATTGATGAGATGAGTGCAGTAACCAGGACCCAGAAATTCTCGTCCTACGCCTTTACTTCCTTCCTCGGAATCCACGCAGCCACCGCATCCATCACGCCATTGATCCTGGGCCTCGACGCGGGTGACAGAGCCCTACTCCTCGCCAGAACGTACTATTACCAGGCAACTCCCTACATCGAAATGCTCCTCATCCCCGGCTCGCTAGCGCTGCACATTGGCTCCGGCTTTGCGCTTCGTGCTTACCGGTCCCACCAGCAGCGCCAGCGGTACGGCGGCAAGCCACCAAAGTCCGTGTCGCAGTGGCGGTGGAGGAATTTCTCGGGGGTCTCGTTGGCGGGATACGCTTCGATCCCGTTCGTGGCGCTCCACGCGGCACTGCTGAGGGGTGTGCCGTTGTGGGTTGATGGCGACAGCTCCCAGATCGGCCTGGAGTTTATGGGCCATGGCTTTTCGATTGGGAGATGGGGGAAGTGGATTGGGACAGGGTTTTATACTGCTATGGTTGGCCTGGTCTCATATCATGTTGTCTATGGTGAGTTTGCCCCCCCTTTTTGTTTTGGCGAATGGAGGGAGGAGGAGGCGGAATGTTTGTGGGCTAATTGGGCTATTTGGGCGGTAGGGTGGGCAAAGTATCTTAAGGTGAACCCGCGGAATCGTAGGATCACTGCTGGCACTGCCATAGCGGTGGCCGGGGCTTGGCTGTCTGGGTTATTCGTAGTAATCTCGAGGTTGGGCCCTGCAAGAGGGTTTCTCAGGAGACACTATGACCACCTCTACAACGTCTTTTTCTTGAGGGTTTTGCAGGCTGATTGAATCATCCTCCCACGGTCTTGAATTACGACCAATCATGCCATAGAGCTATATGGAGATCCACAAACAAAGCTTACGAGCAATATAGCATTTTTTTTCTTTTCTTTTCTTTTTTCCCCCTTTCCCCTACTCTCTTATCGCCGGCGCTGTGGTCTTTTGATGTTTGGATGCCATGTATATATTATTAGTGTACTCATATAATACAGAGAGCAGTGCGATTTAAAGCACAGCCCTAGATTACCCCCTCTCACCGCCACCCAATCAATGTATGGGTACAAGCCAATTCCCAATTCACGGCATGACAAGAGGGAAAAAAGGTGTCAAACGTCAAAACCCCCCACGCCACCCCATGCCTCCATTTCTCAGTCTGTAGGTCTCGCAGGGTCATACCTCTCCCAGCCCTCATCCTCGGTATCACTCTCTTCCACCCCCACAACCCCTCCCACTCCGCCTGCCCCCGCGGCTCCGCCACCGCCAACCTCCATCTTGGCCCCACCCCCCTCCTCACCCCTGCCAAACGCATTCCTAAACCCCCCCTTCTTAAACCCCCCACCCACAGCCCTCTTCTCCTCAATCTTGATGGGCTTAATAACAGCAATTCCCTCGTCCATCCTCCGCCTCTCCCGCTCGCGCCTGCGCTCCACAGACGCCGGGTCGCGCTGCATCGCCTTCATCTCTTGGAACCGCTTCTTGTGCTGGTGGTCGTAGCTGTTCTCGTGCGCTTCGTATTCGTTGCTGCGGCTGTAGCCTTTGCTGCAGAGGTCGCCTTGATGATTGGTTCAGCGCAAGGGGTGGGGAAGAGGGGGGGGTGGGGTAGGGTAGAGGAATGGTTACAGTAGAAGGTTTTTCGCGCTTGTAGGGCAGATTCAGTTTTTGCGGGGGGGATGCCGGTTGGATTTCGGCCGCCGCCCTAGAAAGTCAGCTTTGCTGGAGGAGAAATGCGGATATGGGGAAAGGAAGGAATACTTCGCCGGTTAGTCGGGGCATTGGTTTGTCGTTGAAGTACCGTAGCGGCAGGGAGTTTTTAGGTGTGTGCTAGGAAGCGTGAGATGTTTTGTTGATCTATGGTCGTCGTCAACTTTGGCTTGGTGGCTTTTTTTTTTGTCTCGGAGGGAATGTGCGGTATCGTAACGGTACCGGTAGGGATTTTCCCGTGGAGCCGCGGTCGGGATCTGTCTGCGGTCGCTTCTTTCCACATTTGCCAAGACTTGGAGTTTGGAGAATAATATTATGTATGATAACTTAGAATACGATACTGTCAACTCATCAAAACGAGACATCTCTTCATTTCTATCCTAACCTTCTCCTACGCTTGGCAAAGCTAGGTGGGATGAAAACGAGAATCGCAACAAATATCTCGGATTCGACGGAAATACAAAAGAAGAGTAAACAAAGTTTCTATTATAATATCGAGACGGGCGCCATTATTGGCCTGGAGCCACAAAACCGGTAACAAATAATGATAGAAGCAAAATCGTCCCTAACCCCCTCGAGATCTCAGGGAGCTCTAGCTGATCCCCTACTCTGCACGATATATACATGTGTGTTACCGCCTTCAATACACATAGCAGTCAACAAGTGATACTGGTCAACTGTCTTAGTTTTAGTCAAAATCAGAACCGATCCATTGTGAATTATTGCTCCTTGAACTGGCCATTATTTAGTAACTATTACTTCCGGGTCAAACAGAGAATGCCACTGTGACACCTTTTTCCCATGATTTTACTTACTTCTCATATCCCGGTCAGGTCGGTTAAGAGAAGGTTATTTGAATATGGTATTCATAAGTATGTAGAGATTGAGAGATCAAGGTTGATAACTGTTCTGACAAGGAAGAGATATGAATGGTGCTTCGGATCAGTGGGGAAGGTACAAATACCGATAGAGAAAACCCTTGTTTATTTTTCCATGGAAGTTGATACTGGCATCTTTATTTGAAAGAATAGTACTAGAGGATATTCCTAGGGGATTAATGCAGTCATTAAGCCAAAAAAAATGGGATACTAAATCTTAAATCGGTATTCTGTATTTATCCCTTCTATTCTATATATTCTACAAAAAAAAAAAAAGAAACCCCCCCAATTCTGTAGCTCTAATCACATCTGGTATTAAATAAGTGTTGATGCTAACATTTGGCAAGCGAGCGAGTGCCATTGTCAAGCACGGTGGTATTAGTAGTATTGTACGTACAGAACTATCCTAAAGTCGTAATTGCAATACTTTCCATGCTCTAATTAGATCATCCACCATCCCTACTAAAATTCCGCACCTTTTGCAACTTGATCGGTATAAAATGAAGAGAATACTATTACACAATTCCCCGCACCAGCTGGTGTCCAACACTGGTTTAACCAGACCCGGGAGATTTTTTATTGCACGAGAGAAGCTGCTACTGCTTGACCGGCCTCATGCTCTCCTCTTGTCTTGGTCATCTCGTAAACGTATTGGCCCATATGCTCCACGTTCTCCATTTCTGTCCCCTCCTTAGTTTTCTCCCTCCTATCCGTAGGCCACATCTCGCCGGTAACGATTTCAAGCTTATCGCTCTTGTTCTCCAGCAAACGGGAGAATGCTTCCGACAGCTCGTAGCAACTTTCGAAGACCTCCCGGCGGCCAACTACATACAAGCCTAACCGGGCACGGGACAGGGCAACTGTCATGCGGCGGATATCACGCAAGTAGCCAACGCGATTCGTGCGAACGAGGGAGAGGATCACGTCTAGTCACTCGTTAGCTTCTCACACCCACATAGGTAGGAAAGTAGATAGGAAACGTACAGTCGTTTTGTTCTCCCTGGTACTTGTCCACTGTGGTCAAGGATGCGGGCATTCCGAACAAGGAGATCTTCGCGCATCGTCGATTGAGAACATCCCGGATGAGGGAACGTTGGCCAAGGTATGTGGTCAGTATGGTTATCTTTTCGGCGGGGTAGCCGAGAAGACGCATGTACTGGTATATAGCCACCGCGTATTCTGCTTCTCCAAGGTTCTGGATAAAGTGTGGCGTGGGCTCGGACTCTCCCTGGCCCTTATAATCCTTAACGTTGATGAATTGGAATTCGTGGCGGAAACTGTGCACGGACAGGTTAGCGGGCAAGTTATGAGGCGCGAAACTTTGGGGTATCCCTGCTACTACTACATACCCAGCATTCGCAGTCTGGTATTCCGGCTGCGATTCCAATAGAGGCAGATTCCCAAGCTCGCGATAGCGCCAATTGTACAACCTAGAAATAGACGCGCGCGCACGTCCTTGTTGGTCTAGATTGACGGTTGGGGCCCCCAACCTTACCAACCTTGCAAATAGGCTCTGCTCAAGATTGGCGTACTGCCTAAATGCAATGTTTTGCACAATGGGTGAATTCTGATAGTGATCTCCGCATAGTACCACGCGCTGCAGGGGAAGCTCGCCTCCCCTCGGAGATTGCAGGGCTAGCGGGATGAAAGTCTCAACCTCCGTGATCTGTGCGGCTTCTTCCATCACGACGTTGTCATACTCGAAGCCCAGCTTCGCAATGTCGGCGCGCTAAAAAAAGGGTTTCGTCAGCTTCTAGCTATCACGCCTGATGGGGATTTATGGCCCACCTTCATTGCGGCATGGGTCGAGGTCATAGCGACGATCCTTGCTTCTTTGGTGAGCAAATAATTCTGCCTGTCCCTTGAAGTTTTCAGTAACTCGAACGGCCTAATATCCTCCAGTTCCGTGAACAATTTCCCAATGTGCCTATAGCCACCCTCTGCTACCTCGATGGCTTCCTCCAGGGACAAGCCCTGCGAAAACATCGGCTTGGGAGCATTCGAAAAGTACTGATGGAATGGGAAGCTGTCATAGAGCTTCTCCAACGCGAGTCCTCCCTCAGACAGCACTTTCTGATACCTCGCCCACGCTGGCTTAACATAAACTAGATTGAAGTAATCCGCAGTCTCACAGGAATCACCATGCGCACCGGGAGCGCCTAGAGTGGCAGCTAATCGGTCAACTTCTGCCAACAGTTTCACGCGGTTGTCCTATGATTATCAAAATTTCAGCCTTTGTCCCAAAATTTCAACACATGTAGAAGTCGGAAGAGCTCACCATGAAGGATTCCACCCTCCCCTGCTTGCTATAATTGGTATCTGTTTTCAACTCCTCCTCGCCATGCCCCAATCGAAGCAAATGCCGCTCATCGATATCTAGAGCGGTGATCTTCTCAAAAAGTTGATTCAAGGCTTGATTGCTATGGGCTATTAATAGAGTGCGTTGGGCAGGAAAATTGTGATACAGGTTGCTGATGATTTGAGTAGCGACATCAGTCTTTCCAGTCCCGGGCGGGCCGACAATCACTGTAAGACCGGGGTTGGTGCCAGAGCGGATAGCCTCTACTTGTGTTGGGGTAAACTTGATATGATTCGAACGCGGCACATCAATTGGATAAGGCCCCATATTCGGAAGCTTATAGGTTGAGACCTCCAAGGATTCCTCCTTGTCGGGGTTATCCTCTTGGCCTCTTCTGCGCTTCCTTGCGGGCTTGGGTTGCTCTGCGGCAGTTTTTTGCGAGATCACATAGGGAGGATCACACCCCTCTTGCGAACCTTCCTTGGGCTTCAGTTTCTGTCACAATAATCAGCTGGGGTAGCACGAGCAACGGAGTAGGCCCGAGAACACACTTTTCCTGGGAAACTCTCTACCAAATGTTGCCAATCAAGGAATGTGTCCCGGAAATCAACCAACCTTGGCTGATTCGGAAGTTTGGAGTAATGTGCCCCGGCCGGGTCCCCATATCCTAGGAAGACCTCCTGTAGCCATATCGGCATGGGCACGTCAGCCTGAGTAAGTTCTTGAATTGACTCAAGGACAGGCTTGAAATTGTTTTCCTGGTTTCTATGTTAACGTTTATTTCAATGTAAAATAAAGAACTTTGTACTAACTCTTCCTTTTCGCCTGATCAACACGTTTATGGAGTCGTAGGCATCTGGCTTGCCGGCCTTCAGGTCATCTGCGTCGATCTGTCACCAAGCAACGAGTTAGATTATATGAAACTCTATCGCACTTAGCGATATTGCGACATACCTTGTACATTTCCGGATCTAGGCGAACATGGAGCCTACGCCTTCCACCCGCTCTCCGAGCCTGGCCATCGCCGGCTTTAATTAGTCGCCCATCCTGATCAAGCAGCTGTATGACTTCTGCGGCCCTCAAGTACTTGACCCCGAACTTTTCCGCCGTATTCAGTTTATCGGGCGATCCATTGGTGATCACTCGGTCGCCCTCATCAACTCCCTTAACGGCAAGTAGAAAGACCACGTCATCTGGCCGAAGAGAGTCCCAATCGCGCCGAACGTCTTCGGAGAGCCGAGCGTAGTCAAGACTAATTTCTGCACGAACATACGCTGGCTTCTCTTCGCCGACTTTGGGTGGGGCCGTTTCAAGTATTCTATATCCGTCAGTTCTGCCGTAATCACCGAAATCAAGATTAGATGAACACATACGAAGGTCTTGTGATCAATAAAGCCATCTTGGAGAACCCGTGGAACTGGGTAGTCATACTTGGGTGCAAAAGCTTTGGCGCAAGACGATGTAACGAATCCTCAATATCTCTTCGAATTGCAAAAAATGCTTCGCATCGATAAAGGATAAAAGACCGCCATAGAAAGTCCCCGACAGTCAAGTATTGCAAATTGAGTTTAGGAATGGCTAGAGGCCCAGACCCGTCATAATATTCATTACGGAGTAAAGAAGACTCAAAGAGTGTATCCTGGTTTGGCAACACGGGCAATTCCTTCGCCTGTTCCTGAAATGTCTTTCTCTTCTCATGACACAATAATATTGCCTCTGTCAAAAAAGCTCGGTCTACAGACATAACAACCTTTTGTGGATATTCTGTGCGTAGCCCTAACAGGTGGCACAACTCTACCACCTCTCCATCCCCCAACTCTGCAATGTGGGACGCGAGTTCATCTCGTTGCCCAATGCTCCCGTAATTGGCTAGAGCTAGAATAGTCAATTTATCTTTGAAATGCTTGAACGCTGTTCTTTGGAGTTTTGCTAAATCTGCATTATGTATTTGTCGGGACTCCTCCTGGGAAAGCTGCAATCCAGTGTGATCGTCAATCGAAAAGTTGATGTAATGGAAGAGCAATGCATAAAGATCACGGAATAGACCATTCTCAGAACTCGTATAAAGGGGTGATAATTTAATTGCTGTGAGCACGTGTAGATCCTTTAACAAGAAGTTAACATATCGCCTTGTCGGCATCTGAGATTCGAGATCCGTTAGAAGCTCAATGAACCGCTCGCAATAATTGAGGATCTCTATTAAAATTTAGCCGAAATTACAGACATCCGGGGGCGGTCACACGCACGCTTTGGTACATCACCTTCCTGTTGATCCAATGGCTTATACATCATGTTTAAGAAATCCAAAATCATTTCAAAAAGCCACAGTCTATCGAATCGCAACCGATCCTTTGTGCTATCATCGGCTGAATCAAACCGCTTTCCAGCTGCCCTCCACGCTTTCTTGGTCTGGGGGTATTTTGCCAGCCGTGCATTCCGTACTTCTTCACTTGAAAGATTGTTCCATATGGATATCGAAACTAGCGGAGCACACTCTTTCCTCACTAGACCACTATCGAGCGATTGAAATGCGGTAACGATGAAGGTTAAAAGGTGGTTTCTTATGGGTTGGGGGGTCCCGCGATCAATGGTCATAAACAATATGCGACGGAAGAGAGGTGGGAAATGGTCGGGCAACAAAGATATGTACTCTAATACTCTATGTCAGCAAATCGCAACACCATCAGTATTTACGAGCCCAATTATGTACCCCAAATTTTGAGATTCTCCCGCCTCTTGACGTTCACCATCAGCGCGATCAGTACGACATGGTAATTCGAGGCAGTTTCCGTGAAATTGGGCCATAATAATCTGGCGCGCGCAAATCGGATCAGCAATTGATGCCCACGGGAGAGGGACCAGGGGAGCAAACTTTTCAAGAAACTGAAGGTTCTCAAGGATTAGCAGTGACCGGAAGCGAAAGCCATCCTTCTCCAGTGGGTCGTAGAATTCCGCCTTCAAAGCTTCTGGCTTAAACCTCACAGGTTTCTCCGTAAGCCAATACTTTTTGGCGGCTTGAGCAAATAGATTATCGCCGTGTAGATCTGCGACCGTCGGCCGAGCCTCCTCAACAGCCCCAACCATAGTTTTGTCGGGTTTTTCCATTGGTGATTCCCCGACGATACGGTTCCGGCAGGCCCACGTGTATTATATTGGACTGCAGGAAAGAACAATGATTGATGGGTTGTTGAAGTGAAGAGCTCGGAGGTTCTTTTTGTTTTCGTTCAACCCGGGAGACAACACGTGCTTGGCGATTCTCACGTGACCACAAGGAATTAAAGCATGGTAAATTTAAGGTAGTTCTCGAGTGACAGGACGTGAACGGACGTGAATGCCTAGAGTAATCACAAGTTTTCAGACGACGAACAGCAGGTATGACACTAACCCGGTAAACCTTCACCAATTTCTTACAATCAAGCTGTTATTATATCATATTATCATACCCCTTAGAATTCTGTTCACAACAAATTACCGCAGGGGTATAATACTGGAATACTCGCATAGGTCCAAGGTTTTGCAAGCTTAAGACTTTTTTGTCGCGTCGGCTTGGCATCGAAAGTTTAGCATCACGTGATGAAGACAAGGCGACCTCAAGTTCGATTTCTCGTGTCGTTTGTCTTTCGCTTTATCTCACACCCTCACCGACCCCCATACTCTAACAACACTGTGACAAAACATAGCGCCTCGACCTTTTCGATAATGTCTCCAACTCTCCTCCCAAATGGAACATCTGCGTCGAAAACGGTCGATCAGCTCTCCTCCCACCTTCGGGAGATTCTCTCCTCCGTCAATAAAACTCACCTTGAACCCCCGTTGGTTGAATCCGATTTCGACCCTGAGATATTAGCCCGTATAAGATTGCTACGGTCTTCTCCGGATGAATTATACCGGAATTCTCTGGATACTGCATTTAAAGGGGCGCTGTATGATCTTTTGGTAAGTTTTCTGGTCTTCTCTTTGTATGCTCTGCTCACTGCGCCGCGATAGACCAATAACGGCGCTATCGATACCACAACCCTTCCCGTCTTCTGCAACTTCTTAGATCTTTCGTTAGTTTTAGCTGAGCTAGGTATGTTCACCTTTATCCTCCTTCCAGACCTTCTCTTACTCTACCACAGAAATATCTGGCGCAGGTTTACCGCTTGATCTTATTGAAGAGCTCTTTGACTCACAAACTATACCATCATGCGAGTGCCTCTTCCAATATTTGGAGTCGCGTATCGATAGGGTTACTGCAGGAGTTGAAGGTGGGAAGGGGAAAGCCCTCATATTGTTGCGGCTGTGCAACGAGCTTCTCAAGAGACTATCGAAAACAGAGGACACAATTTTTTGTGGCCGCATCTTGATCTTCCTCAGCAAGAGCTTCCCAATTGGCGAACGTTCCGGAGTTAACTTGAGAGGCGATTTTAATGTGGATAATGTCACGGTTTACGACGATATTCTCCAAGAGCCGCCGACCGTGGTAGATGGAATGGAACTCGATATCAAGAAAGAGGAGATGGAAGTTGATCAGAAGAAAGAGGGGGGCTCGACTGGGGCAGGGGAAGCAGACATTGGCAGCGCCCGTAGCCCCAAGAGGCTAAAGGTGGAAGCCGGGCAAGATACGTCCCAAAAAGAGCCCACAGTTCTCGATGCCAATACTCTGTACCCTATATTTTGGTCACTTCAACACGATTTCGCTGACCCTCAGCGATTATTCGTTAAAGACAATCTTGAAAAATTCAAGGTGGGCCTTGGGGCTACCATGGCAAAATTCAAAAAGGCCGAGGATGATTCAATCAAGACCACTGGAAAAGTTGATGTAGCAAATGGGCCCAAAAAGGCGGATGAGAAGAAGCCTGGTGTTTCTCTTGGGGAGAAGAGGAAGCAAATTGATGGTGATGACGACGATATCAAGGGTGAAGGGTTTAATCCGAAATATCTGACGAGTCGCGAGTTGTTCGAATTAGAGGTATACACCCTCTCTTCGCAGGTTATGGATCGAATGCTAACCTGGTGCTCACACGAGTGATAGATCAGCGACTTGACTTTTAGGCGGCATGTGCTTGTACAGGCCTTGATTCTGATCGATTTTTTGTTAAGCCTGACGCCACAGGCGAAGGGAAAGTGGAAGGACCTCAAAACACCAAACAGATCCGTTCAATATGCGTTCACATTGGGCCTAGAAGATGTAAGCTTTCCCTATTCCTGAATTATTCCCAAAATATGAAAGGGGAAAAGGGTAGCTTGGCCGTTCTCTCTCTCATTATACAGAGACCATTAAGTTATCTCCGACAAAGCCGGCGGTACGCACATGCGCCTGTTATGGCTTGCATAGGATGCCAGGACAGCCTTATGCTAAAAAATTGACCATGTAGTGGCATTGGGCTACCTAACATACAAAGGTGGCCATACGATCACATGGCCCATATTCAGTGGATACGTGTGCTGCTATTTATGGGATTTAAATGCGTAGATCACGAATTATACACTAATACAATCTTTGTAGGAGAAATGGGCAGCCACAACAAAGGAGCAAATACTCAGGAGTCTCGAACCTGATGTGCAAGGGAGACTGTTCACACGAACTATTAAAACAGTTCTGATTAGAGAACAAAATTGGGTTCGGTGGAAAGCAGAGAGTTGCCACCCATTTGATATGCCCCCCTTGGGCGATGCAGACATTGAGGATGCCAAGCAAAAAGCAGTAAAGGCTTGTGAGATTCCTGAATCCTACAAATATACCATGGGGACACCAACCTTGAATTTGTTGTGGCAAGCTACGGGCGACCTAACAGGGCTCGAGGGTCTTACAGATCCGACGAGGTAAGTCATGCATAGGAATCCTTGTTGACGTGCCTGCCGACGTGACCCTGCAATGACTGGCCGACTGGCTTGCTGACTGGCTTTACCCAGGCACAACCTCCCGTCTCCCGAGTCATTTAGACAGCCCGTGAAGGACGCGGAGCTGGAATTGTTGGACGCGATGTTTCCGGATGACATCGAACTGGCGCAGACCAAAAAGTTCACCAACACCTGGAAAGCCCTTCGCCTCGCATCCCGTGACCGCTTCCATCTTTTCAACAAGTTTGACGACAAGTTCGACGAAAAGAGGAACGATCTGGAGATGCTTTTCGAAGTTGAAGAAAAGGCAAAGGAGGAGGTTAGAGCCAGGGTGAACCAACAAGCACCTGCTACCGCTACTCCAACAAAACCCCAGGAAAAATCTCTCGAAGCCAACGACAACAATTCGCTCGCGGCTACTGATATCGATTCTACCCCCCCAGCCTCCGTGCCCGCGCAAATCCCAACACCGATACCGACCGCGCCTATCACGAACACCTAACATTAGCCCTACTTGCCTACTCCGTCAAACATTGTTTTGGAGAACTGGAATCGGGAAACTCGTGTCATACACCTGTAACGAATAGGGGAAAGAAAAGGAAAAGAAGCACAGCGCAGCGAGCTTAATCCCCCATTTATCTATCTATCTATCCATCCATCCATCCGTCTGTCTGTCTGTCTATCTATCTATCTATATTATAATAAGCCAATAATTGGCAATGAACTTCCCTGGTATGATACTGTGAATTTTCTTTTTTCTTTTTTATCTTTCCTTCTCTACTCTACTCCCTTCATTCAAATTTGATAGACAGCAACGAGGCACAAAGTGTGGGAATAATAATGAGCACAAATCCTTCCTTCTTCACCAGGCAGCCTACTTTTTTTTTTTAAAAAAAAAAAAAAGTCCTACAATAGATAGCAGGGAAGCAGTCAAAAAAACGGAACAGAACGGAGCAAAAACCAAGAGTAAGAAGAGAGGAGGGAAGAACGATTGGGGGGGAGAAGAGAAAGAAACATCTCGGGTGATATTTGATGAGTTCGGCTTGTTTTTGTTTTTTTTCTTCTTCGAAGAATTTCGAAAATATCCTTTTCCCATTTTTGCTTTTGCGCGCGTGTGTGTGTACTGTAGGATGCGGATGCCGTACCAACTATTGAAGACTACCTACTAATTCTCTCTGTCCCCCCCCTCCCTCCCTATTCCTTCCTGTTCCCTTTCCTTGCAAAACGCAGTTCACGGCAATTCACCCCCCCCCCTCCCTCCAGCGAATAATGATAAAAAAAAAAAACCCTTGTCTGAGTTAACGCGGCTCCCGCAAAGT